GGCTACCGTTTCTAATGATCGAATTCCTACCAATCTCCCAATTCTCGATTCGAAGAACTACGACAAATGGGCGAAACAAATGAAGGTTCTGTTTGGTTATCAAGAAGTTCTTGAGATCGTCATCAATGGAGTTACACCGTTAGAGGCAGATGCTACCGAAGCTATTAGGGCTACACACAGCAGTTACTGTGGTGATAGTTTGCGGGACAGCAGCTGTACTGTTTTGGAAAGTGGTGGAAAAATGCGCTCGGATCGAAATGCATTACTTACCATGCGTGATGGAGTTTAAAGTAAAGATGAATGGTACTTGGATTCCGGTTGTTCAACACATATGACGGGTCAGAAGGATTGGTTTGTGGAAATCAATCAAGCGGAAAAGAGTAAAGTCAAGTTTGCCGACGACACCACTTTAAGCGCCGAAGGGGTAGGAGATGTTTTGATCGGAAGGAAGAATGGTGGACATTCAAGGATCAAAGATGTCTTGTACATACCGGGAATTAAGTGCAATCTTTTGAGCATTGGCCAATTACTTGAAATAGGGTACTTAATTCGGTTGGAGAACAAGATGTTACGCATTTTAGATTCAAGTGGTGTGTTGATTCTAAAAGCGCCGATGACTGCCAATAGAACTTTTAAGGTTGAGTTAAAGGTTATGGAGCATCGTTGTTTAGCTACCGCGACAAGTAGAGATGAGTGGTTATGACATTACCGTCATGGTCACCTAAATTTTAGGGATTTCAAAATGTTGCAACAAAGTGAAATGGTAACGGGGCTGCCACATATTAGCGTTCCGACAGAATTGTGTGAGGAATGTGTGAAGAGTAAGCAACACAAGAATGTGTTTAGCAAGGATGCGGGTCGAAGAACCAAAGGCTTACTTGAGGTGGTGTATTCCGATGTTTGTGGACCGATGCAAGTAGAGACTTATGGCGGCAATAGATATTTTGTTACGTTTATTGACGACTTTAGTAGGAAGCTTTGGACATATCTTATCAAGAGGAAGGATGAGGTATTTGGAGTGTTCAAGAGTTTCAAATCCATGGTAGAGCGTCAAAGCGGTCGGAAGCTCAAAATTCTCAAAACGGATGGTGGAGTTGAATATACCTCTAGTGGGTTTGGGAAGTTTTGTGATCTTGAGGGTATTGTGCGTGAGGTGGTGCCTCCATATACGCCTCAACAAAACGGGGTTGCGGAGAGGAAAAATCGTACAATAATGAACATGGTGCGTAGTATGCTTTGTGGGAAGAAGTTGCCTAAGGAATTGTGGGGTGAGGCTGTGTCTACAGCCACTTACTTGTTGAATAGGTGTCCTACTAAGAAGCTGGAGAAGATCACACCAGAAGAGGTTTGGAGTGGTTTCAAACCGAGTGTGAATCATTTGTGCGTTTTTGGATCGATTGCATATCGTCATGTACCGAATCAACTTAGAAAGAAGTTGGATGATAAAGGTGAAAAGTTGATATTTGTTGGATATCACTCTACTGGAGGTTACAAGCTATTTGATGAGAAGAATCAGAAAATCGTGATAACACGAGATGTATTTTTTGAAGAAATAAAAGCTGCTAAAACAGCAGGACAGCAGCAACAGTTCTTCGAGTTGTATGATCTAGAGGGTTCCGATGCCGATGTACCTGCACCTACAGTAGCGGAAAATGTTGTAGTGAATAATGGTAGACCAGTGAGGCAAAGAGCCTTGCCTTATAGACTCCGAGACTACGAGAGGTTCCAAGATAACGAAGTGAATAATGATGGTGATTTTGTTCATTTCGCGCTTATGGCCGAATCTGAACCGGTAAATGAGGAGGAAGCCTTGAGCGATCCTAAATGGATATGTGCAATGAAAGAGGAGCTGGAATCTATTGAGAAGAATGGTACTTGGGAGTTGGTCGATTTACCACTCGGAAAGAAACCAATAGGTATGCGATGGGTCTATAAAGTTAAAGCAAATCCTAAAGGTGAAGTAATCAAGCACAAAGCTCGATTAGTGGCGAAAGGGTTCTTGCAACATGAAGGTATAGATTACGAGGAGGTATTCGGACCAGTGGCTAGATTGGAGACTATTCGTTTGGTTGTTGGGATTGCACATAGCAACAATTGGGTGATTTACCAAATGGATGTAAAATTTGCGTTTTTGAATTATCCTCTTGATGAGGAAGTTTATGTGGGGCAGCCACCCGGTTTCGTGATTAAAAATCAAGAGAGAAGGTATTACAAGCTACACAAGGCGTTGTATGGTTTGAAACAAGCTCCAAGAGCTTAGAACAAACGTATAAACGACTTTCTTGTTGACATCGGTTTCAAACGATGTGTATCCGAACATGGTGTTTATGTGAGATCGGATAATATTGATGGTGTTATTATACTATGCTTGTATGTTGATGATCTCTTGATTACGGGCAGCAATGACAAGAGTATTTCAAGGTTCAAAGGGGAGCTCATGAGCGAGTTTGAGATGACGGACCTTGGTGTCATGAGATACTTTCTTGGCATAGAGTTCCACAAGTCAAAAGTGGGTCTGCTTATGCATCAAAGAAGGTATGCTCTAGATATCTTGAAAAAGTGTGAAATGGAGCATTTTAATGCTTCTAATACACCTTGTGAGGCTAGAGTTCAGCCGTCCAAAAGTGATGATGAGGATGATGTGAATCCAACATTTTACCAGAGTTTGATTGGATCGTTACAGTATTTGTGTAATACTTGACTGAACTTGGTTTTTAGTGTCAGTATTGCGAGTAGATTCATGGAGAGACCTAAGGTGTCTCATTTGGCGGCTGTCAAGAGAATCCTTAGATATGTGAAAGGTACTCTTGGTTGTGGTATTTTGTTTCCCACATCGGATATGGGTCGCAAATGTACTTTACTTGGCTACACCGATTCTAATTGGTGCGGAGATAAAGATGATCGGAAATCTACGGCGGATTACATCTTTATGTTCGGTAGTACACCAATCTCATGGTGTTCGAAGAAGGAACCGGTTGTAGCACTCTCTTCTTGTGAGGCCGAGTACATTGCGGCATCATTGAGTGCTTGCCAAGCTATGTGGTTACTGAATCTCATGAAGGAATTGGGATGTGGTGATGATGATGCCACCACACTGTTTGTGGATAATGTTTCCGTGATAAATCTTGCGAAGAATCCGATTGCACACGGAAGGAGCAAGCATATTGAGATGCGGTTTCATTACTTGAGAGAATTGGTCGGTGATGGAAAGCTTAGATTGAGCTATTGCCGAAGCGAGGATCAAGTTGCAGATTTGTTGACAAAGGGTGTGACAAATGAGGTGTTCAAGAGACTGTTGAAGAGCTTGAGCATGATGACTTTGGAGCAACTAGAGTGAGATGGTGTGTTGAAAGCTGTAAAATTCTGTTTTGGAAATTTAACAGCTTTGGCCACTTTAGTTGGTTTTGTTTGTTTTTGATTACTCTCTCATGTGTATATATACATTGTTGTAATCCCAATTCATAGTTAATGCTAATTTAGTGATTCATCCAATATTACTCTTTTCTCTATTCTCTCTCAATCTCATCTTCTTCCCCAAGTTTCTTTTCACCATTGTTACTACCTTCCAAATTCTGATTTTAATGTTTTATGTTGTTCTAACAGCTATTTGGGTTGGTATTTTATCAGGGCGATACAGAGACTTCACAAAGAATATCATTTGTAAGCTTCCTATAACTTCATTGAGAAACGTATCATTGTGGTGGAGTGATGTTTTGAATCTTAGAAATAACCTTGGAGGGGAGTCGTTCACTGACCTGATTTCTTTCAACCTTGGTGATGGTGCATTGGCCTCGTTTTGGCATGGAAGGTGGTGTAGTAACAGGCCCTTGCGGGTTTTGTTTTCTGGCCTAAATATATACTATTTCTAATAACAAGTTTGATTCAATGCGAGATATGGGTTTTTGGATTAGAGAAATGTGGAATTGGCCTGTGGGTTTCTGGCCATTTTTCTTGTCCAAACACTATTTTATGAAGTAGTATTATCATAGGCTAATTGCAATTACGAAGAGTATTGATCTAAGGTGTGTGAACCGCCGGTGCAGGTGGTTTAGAAATCATGAATTACATCCAAGGTTAAGATTATGAGCTAGAGATTACTTATCGACAGACTTCCTACGCATATTAACTTGGCTAAGCATGACATCATTTCCAACTCGCACGAAATAGTCTGTGTCTTTTGTTTATAAAAAATGTATTTTATTTTTAATTTTTAAAATTCTGAAGTCAAAGTTACAGAAACATAAAAATAGTAAAATAATTATTTTCAAAATATATTATTTTATATTTTTTCATTTCAACAAAATATTTTTTCAAAAATCCTACATTATAGTAATATGTATCAGAAAATAGAAATTCTAACTAACAACCATTTATAAATATTACATTAAGAGAAAATAATTTAAAATATAACAAATTTTAAAAAACAATTAAATACAAAACTAGAAAATAGCATATTCTAGAAGAATAACACATAAATAAATTGAGGAAGAAGAAACTAATACAACGAACATTGAATATTAGATAAGTGCTTAGTCAGACAAAAAATCGTTGGCAATGAAAATTGACAATGAAAAAAGGAAATAGATAGTATTAGTTGAATTTTATAGATGAAAATTTCTCCTCTTAATTTTTTTTCTATTATAGAAATCGGTCACATTCATTTAACTCGCTAATAATATAATTTAAGGTTTATGTTTTCGACTTAGGACAATATAAATAGGACCCTTAGCATCCAATTAAATATACAATTTCAAACTTATCAATTATACATAGCTGAAAGGTTTTCTATTGTGTGAGTTTTTGTATTGAGGTAGTTTCAAAACTTTGTTTTCTTGGGAATGTCCTTAGTGTCATTGTAATCAAATGACAATTCATAGTTCAATTCAATTGGCATTACCATATGTTCATTAAATTGTTTGTGTAAAAAGTCTAAGGTTCTATTTTATTGTTGCACCTGAACTTTTGATTTGTGTGTGTAGGTATTCGTCTTATAGAGAAAAATGGAAGACAAATTCTCAAATGCATTGGATGGAGTTGCACTCAATCAGAAGAGAAAGCGGGATACCCAGTGCGATGCACATTTGACAGAAGTTTCAACGCCAAAAAACTTAGTTGGAGATGAGGATCAATCAACTGAATTTGCTTCAAGATCCTTGGTTAACTATTATTTGAACTATAAGAAAAGTGGGTTGCCCAAACGTTTGATGTTTTATAAAAATGGTGAGTGGTTGGACTATCATGACGATGTTGTCGACTTCGTTAAAAAATATTTCAAAATCAAGAAGGCGGTTGTGGAACTAGATTTAGATGGCCAAGATATTGTGCTGGACTTTTGGCATATGTACAGTGTGAATTTAAGAACGGGTTTGCAACAACCCATTGCTTGGATTGATGAGGTTGGAAGATGCTTTTTTCCTGAACTTTTTGGAGGTTCTGATGAAGAACGCGAACATGAGGGTGGGGAATCTTCTAACAAAGACAGAGAAATAGAATTAGATGCTTATACTGAACCTGGATATGGAAGACTGGATATGGATACAGTGCATGACATATTTCTCATAGGAATGGCTACTTTCAACATTAATGACGATGACATCGTCGATATTCACCGCATCTCTAGCATCTCAATGCAAGCGCGATTGGAGTTATTCCACAAGCAAGTTGATATCACAAAAGTAATTCACGGGGACGCTAATGTTCGATATGGTTGGTTTGCATGTTCTAAAGAGGATCTATTTACAATGATGCAGTATGGGTTTGGTCACAATGCACTTTCATCGTTTAAGTGCATATACGGCTTTGGTATTCATCTTACAGCTATTACCCACCCTTATGCCTGGTAAGTTTTTAAAATAAATGACTAGATGCATATGGTTTTTTTTATAGCTATTATGCTATTGAGCAAGTTGATATTGTTATATTTACAGTGTCCCTTATTGTGATGTTGATGAAAACGGGGTTAAGCACTTGGTCCTTTGTCGTGTTATAATGGGGAAAATGGAGCTTCTTCGTCGTGGCAATAATCAGATTCGTCCTAGTGGTTGTGAATATGATAATGGGGTTGATGACATTCAAAGCCCAAAATACTATGTGGTTTGGAATATGAATATCAACACTCATATCCATCCTGAATTTGTTGTTAGCTTCAAGGCTCCTATGGATGCAGAAGTTGATCACAACATAGGTTTGATTACAGAAAATGAACACTCAAATGAGAGTATGAGTAATGTTTCTGAGAATAACTCTTCTACATCGGATACTGTAAGTTATTTCATATGAGTTTTGCATCTTATGATTTAATAACTTTGTATGTAAAGTAAGAATTTTTCTAATATGCAAAAATGAATTGAGTATTGTATGGTGCGCAACTCTTTTTTACCATTAGATCAATGATGTCCATCAAAAATGTAATGTGCAACATTTAGGGGTTTTATCTTTAGAGATTTTTTAATGATTTTTATTCCTATAATTTTTTCTTTAATACTTTTATCCAAAAAAAGTTGGTTTTTGAGATGACTCAGGTAAATTCGGCTGGCCTACTGACTAACACAAGAAGAGTTCCAAGATCACCATGGCTTCCATTTCCGATGCTATTTGCAGCTATAAGAAGTAGGATTTCTCCAAAACAAATGCTTGTTATAAAGGCACATTATGCACTACTGATGGTATGTAAAGTATCTGTAACTGATACCTATGTTTTATCTAATTGAATATCTATAATAATCCGTATGTACTTGTGCAGGCAAAGAAAATTTCCCATGATGATTTTGTGATGAAGCTGCGATTGATTGTTGGAGACAATATACTAAGATCCGCAGTAACTAATCTTCAAGACAAGGTACCAAATTTTTCTATTCTAAAAGTTTAACTTGACTTTGAAGTATGATGCATTTTCTTGTGTTGTCTTTACACCTCACAGTGAGTTAACTTGAAGTTGCAGTTGCAAATATTATGCTCATCTTTTTCTTATCTTGAAATAATAAGAATTATCTTTTGAAATTTGATTATGCCTTATAATGTTTAATTTCTACTTGCAGGGAGCATCAAATGATAATTCAAATGCCGTAACTAAGAATGTATAACAAATTTCTAACACCTCTTCCATAACAACCAAACACGCCTCTGTTCACACAGCAACTACACGAACCTCGGACCACCTCCACCTACACCACCTTCGGTCAACAACGTTCAGCCACCCCCTTACACCACAGGCACCACCTTTCACTCCACAATCTTCTGTCCTCACGCAGCCAACCACGCACCAAGACACCATCGATACATCGACAATAACTCATCATCGTCAACATCGACACGGTTTCATTATTCAGTTGGTATTTCAGATCAATTTGCTTTTTCAATGACGTTTTTGTTTGCTTTTGTTTACATTGATATTCAAAGTTGAGCTGAAATATTAATGTTTGTTTGTGTCTTTTGTGTTTGATATTTATATTGATGTGTACGTATTTCCATTAAGTGTGTTTTTCATGTTAAATTTGTTTCTGGACTATGTTGAATTTTTTTAGTTCTAATCATTGTAAATAATTTGTAATGATGTAAATATTGGGAATCTTGTTGTTGTTTGTGTTGCATTTAAATCGGATCAGAGTCGTACATTCGACCCGATTTTGTATAATGTAATGTTGCAAGGCTTTTGTTTATGTTCCGTAACACTGTTGTATTGATGCAAGGTCACGTGTATTTGATTTAGTTTTGTTTATCAGCATTGTGTTAAGTGCATTTTGTTTTGATTGTTATGAGCGCATTTTGCATTAGCAGCTACTAGCTGGTTTATTTTTACTTGCTACATTTCAATTCTATTGTATTCGCGTTTAATTTATATTTCTATGCGATTTTGGTAGTTCAACATAGCTTTACTTTGGGTTTGCTTTCGCTACGCTGTGTTTCGTCACGTGACCTTGTTCTTGTTATGATACGATTTGATACGTTTGTTCTATTTACGATGATCACGTTTTGCGCTAGCAACTTGTTGTTCGATTTGTGTTGGCATGCAACATTTCATTTAAATCAAGTTTAAATTATTCGTTGGTAGCTTCGTATTACATGTCCTCGCATTACATGAACTCAATTCGTGTCCTCGCGTTGCGTTTAATTTGACACACACATGTTTACTTTTCGATTTATTTGTAATAAATGTGTGATGTTCAGGATTGTTGTATGCACATCGTCGTCCCATGATTTTATTGTGTGTGTGCATGTAACATTTCATTTTGTACTATTTGTAGCGTTATGTTACACCTCACGTAGAGTTCATGCTCTTGCACCAGAATTTGCACCTTCACATTAGAGTTCACGCCCTCGTGCTTGAACTTGCAACCTTTCATTACAATTCGTGCCTAACAATTATTTTTCAACCATTTCACCATCAATCAAACCATTTTCAAACAAAAATTAAACCTTGGTCCATCTGAATCATTTTCAAAATCAAATAAAAAATATTTAATCATTTCAAACATTTTTCATAAAAAAACATTAAAAAAGAACGATTTAATGTATACCACTCTTTTTCCTGAATGTTTGGATACGAGTCGTATAGCTTGACCATTCGTCATCCGCTTAAAATTTTTAAATTGATTCATACCAAACCTTTTTCACAATTTAAATCTCTTTCGCGTCAAAATCCTTTTGCAATGAAAATGGATGAAAAAAGAATAGTTTTTCGCATGCTTCTCTTTTACTTGAGTAATTGACACCATTTGTATAGCTTGCTTTTCAAGCACTTATCATCTTCAAAAAAACTTAATCATATCTAAATCTTTAATAATTAATTGGGTAAAAAAGGAATGGTTTGGTGAATACCACTCTTTTCCTTGATTATTTGGATACAAGCCATATAGCTCGGCCATCCATGCATTCGTCATCCCCTCAAAAAATACATTCAACCAATCAAACTTATCTTTTCTCGCCTTAGCGCAATGTGAAAACCATTTCAATAATGAAAAATGCTTCTTTCTTTTCGAGAAGATGCAAACTATGCTTCGTTCATACCATGCATAAGAAGTTAGAACTCTTTCCCCTTGAATGCAATGAGAACATAAACATGCGAGGTTCCAATTTATGTGGTTCATTCCTACGTGATGTCAATGTTCACTTCTCCGTGTTTGGGGTAGCAAGCAATGTTTTTCGCTCGAATGCAACTAAGTACCTTTCACTAAAATCGACCAACCAACAAACATTTATTACCCAGAACTACATAGTCTTGAGTTCTCCATCGCACCTAGGGATACCTAGGAGCGAGATACAACGTATGTAACACCCTTTTCTACCCCACAATTAGCATGGCAAAATAACACAGATATCAGAGTAAAATTATTAAATTTCATAAAAGCCATCAAAAGGGCGTACATTTCTCAAATCAACAAAGTCGGTCAAGGCTCCGTAAATAACGAGTTTTCTCAAAATAATCAGTTCGCACAAAGCAGCGGAACTCAAAGGCATAAATCAAGGTTTCCTCATCAGGGAAAAATAAGCAAAATAACTCAACAGTATATAGTTTAACTCAAAAGAACCAAACCCGATGTTACATATCAGAGCAAGACCCTCTAAGCTAACCAAAAGGCTAAAAACTCAAAACTTCAAAAATACTCCTCGACGACGTCCACGGCTAAACTTGGTCATCTGCATGTTATCCACGTGGAGGTAACATTCAAACAGGTAGGGTGAGTAAAACAATTCATAATAACCAATGTATAAAAATCAACATATAAACAGCGTCATATTCATATTCAACACATTCATATTCTTCAATAAGCCTCGAAGGCCACAACATCATAATTCATACAAAAAGGCTCATAAATGCAAATGCAACATAGACTCAATGCATGTGGTACCAATCATCACAACGCGATGGACACTGGACCATCAACCCTCCATAGGTCCCCATCAATAGGATCGATTCTGCTAGAGAACCGGAGCACATCAAAACACTTCACATCCACACAATGTGATTGAAGCCAAAGTAATTGAGGTCCTGAACCGAAGTTCGGATGCACATGATTCACGATTATCTGTCCGGGAATATTTCAACGCTTCTGCCTCCAATTTCCTCTTCAGGGCTCTCTGGCCTCAATTCTTCACGGTTAACACAAATGAATCCTAAAACCCTTCAGAACTCTTTTTTTGTTAAACCTAGACTTGGGCCTCACAATTTGGGCTTTTTCCATAATATCCTTACTAACTTTTCTTAATGCCCAAATTACCCTTCTTTCACTATTATTTATTTTAATTCATAATAATACTAATAAATTAGTATTATGTACTACCAATTAAATAAATAACCCACAAATTGCACAATTCTCAAAATTCCACAAAACACTGAAAATCACCGAAAAATGAATATTCTCAATTAAATAAATAAATTATAATATTCCAATTAAAAATTGGGGTGTTACAACGTCTCGTCAGACACCCTTATAAAAAAAAACTTCTTTTTTAGTCCATTTTCTTTTTCCTTTCTCAAACTTTTAATAACTCAAAGAAAGAAAATAACGAAGGCTAACATTCTACTCACAAATCTAACTAAAAGGTTACCCTCGCATAATCGACTCCCGAACCCGAATTTTGTTGCGATGACCATTTTATTTTTTTATTTTAAGGATTTTATAGATATTTTCACTTTCCTTTTGCAATAAATAAAGTCCAATTGTGACTCTGTTATCATAAGGAGCGTGCGAGTGCTCGTAGTCATTTTTTATGCCGCGACAACTAGTGACTCTACTGGGGATATGCTTCAGCTAGAGAGTCAAACCTAATTTAGTATGGTATGTGATGAACGTAATTTTGTTAACTAGGTTTCTTCAATCTACTTTTCTTTATATTATTATTGTCATTGCTTATTTGCTATTGATTCTCATGGTACTATGGGATTTCTTTGATTATTGGCATTATGTAAGATAGACTTTACACCCGAGTTTGAGCAGAAACTTACGATTAAGTTGTGGTTGCGTAGTATTAGCCATCTTGACGTATTCCTTCTTATCGAATTTAACCAATATTAGAGTCTTGTTAGCATTTTTGTTTTGTTTTATTTTTTTGTTTGTTTATTGATTTTCAGGGTTGCAGTATAGTAATAAGTATTCCAGCATATTAGCTGACACTGTGTAAGCTATTATTTCAAATTGCTCAGAATTTTTTTCCATAAATTTAGAAGTAATTCAACAAATAGTACTCACTTAAAAAAAAACTTTTAAGTGAATTTGACCCTCAAAATTGCAAATTCCTTGTTTTTTTTTCTTCATATTTAAAAAAAAAATGCAGAAAAATCTGTGGAGTTCTATTTTGTTTATTTTTTTTTATTTTTAGTGATATTTCTAGATTTTATTTTAATTTATTTTAATCGTTTTTTATTTTTTTTCAACAGTTTTTCTCATTAGGGACATTGTTGGTATTTTCATAATTGTTGCATTGCTAAGTCATGATGCATGTCTACTAGTGACTCTGATTATGTGTTCTCCCATAATTGTCTTGATTCCAATTTTGAGTTTTTTATTATAATATGGCTGAACAAAGAAATTTAAGAGAACTTGCGGCATATGATTTTTTGTTGATTTCCCTTCTTTATCTGATTTTGATGACACTTATACTTGTGATGTTTGTACTGATACTCACTTATGTTTAGTTTGTGCTAAAATTGAAGTTGCTTTACAAGGTGATATTTCTTATAATATTTCTTATGAGATTTATGCTGACAAAGTTGATGTTGCAGATTTAAATGTAGCTCTTGCTGCCAAAATTTTGTCATCCATTGAGCAACCACCTGCTTTAAAGCTAAAGTCATTCCCTGCATTTTTAGAATTTAATGAAAAAATTTCTATAACAATTTCATCTAAATTTGAATTTGAATAGGAACAAAAATTATTACAATTATTGCAGGAGCATAATAAGGGAATTAGATGGGTTGTGATTGACATTTCTAGTATTAGTTCATCAATTTGTATGCATAAGATCTTACTTGAAGATGGAGCAAAAGCAGTGAGGCAGCCCCAAAAGTGTCTTAACCCCTTGATTTTGTATGTTGTGAAAAATGAGATCTATATTGAACCCGAGGATAAAGAGATGACCATTT